GACTGGGCCTGTCTTGCACATTTGAAACCTCAAAGCCCAACCCCATGACACAATTCCTCCAGCATGAACACAACTACTCTGAGTCTGTTCCTATTCAAACAATCACACTCCCTGGCCCCATAAGCTTATAAGCTATATTTTAATGCAAAATGTGTTTAGTCCAACTTCAAAAGTCCACGTATGTATCACAGTCTAAACAGTGTTTAAAAGTCCAAAGTTTCTTCTCAGACTCACAACCAATCTGTTGACTATAATCCCCTGTAAAATCAAAAAGCAGATCACATACTCCCAGCATGCATTGTCACAGAACATATATTACTATTCCAAAACTCTGGAAAGGGAAGATAATGAGAAATACCAGACTAAAGCAGAATAAAAACCAGCTGAGCAAACTCCGCATCTCTGTGTCTGGATGTCAAAGCACTCTCCAGATCTCCATCTCCTTTCAGCTTGGCTTATTGCATCTCAATTCTCTCTCTTGGCCTGGTTCTGCCCCCTCTTAGCAGCTTTCCTTAGCAGGTATCCCATGACTCTGGAATCTCCAACATCTCGTGGTCTTCAGTGACGTCCGGACATCCCCTTTATAGCTTCATGCAAAGGCCTCTCGGGGCCAGCATGCAGAGACACCCCTGACACACACTTCCTGGTGTTCCTTTTCTCCTCAAACTGTACTATTAGTCAACATGATGTTCAGACAGAAACCTCCATCCTTCCAAGTATTTACTAGAAAGTTTACAACTCCATGTAAATGTTAGTGCGTTCAGCCCACATAGCACAAGCAGCCAGGTTTTCTGTCATACCATATCTGACTTCTACAGAGCCCCTCTGCTTAGAGACTCCAGATATTCCCCCAGCTTGCCACTCCTGAGGAAATTATGTCTGTCAGCAAGAGAAACCAAAGGTAGATGCCAAAAAGGGCATGTCTGCTGATGTAAAATTTCCCAGAAGCCCCAGAAGGGGAGCAGAATGGATAATGAGAGGTGATGGGACTGTCCCAGGTTCAAGTCTGCAGAAATAGACAGCAGACTCAGGAAGCAGCAGATCCCAGGCTCTCCGTTTCTGACATGGCCTTCATCTTCCATATAAGAGTACATAGTCCACAAGGGACCAATGTTACCACGTCACCTAGCTTTTGTGACAAGCTCATTTGTTCCTTGTCGTGTTGAAACTGACATTACTTCATTACTTCATTTACTGCATTACTTCCTGGGGAGCCTCTATTTGCATTCACTCCAGATGAAGAGCAAATGATAGACCAAAGAAATGATTACATCAAAGTCCATCTTGGTGAATCAGTGGGTTTACTGGGCTTACCTACAGAAGTGGGGGTGAGAGGTAACTTTCAGAAGCATGTGTAGCTAAAACAGCTGCCTCACAGAACCACCCCACCTCTAAAATGAGTAGCAACTGTTGTGGGATATTTGTACACTGTATGAAGATATATTGCTCTGATTGGTTTAATAAAGAGTTGAGCAGCTAATAGCCAGGCAGGAGGCATAGGCAGGACTTTCGGGCAGAGAGGAAGTAGGAAGAGGAATCTAGGCAAACAGAAGATGGAGAACAAGCAAGCCATGCAGGAGGAGAGGCAACAGCCATGATTCATGTGACAAGCTGATTAATAGAAATAGGTTAATTTAAGTTATAAGAACTATATAGGAACTAGCCTGAGCTGTAGGCCAAGTTTTAATAATTAATTGGTTTTGTGGGAGCCTAGGCAGTTCGGATGCTCACCTTACTAGACCTGGATGGAGGTGGGTGGTCCTTGGACTTCCCACAGGGCAGGGAACCCTGATTGCTCTTTGGACTGACGAGGGAACGGACTTAATTGGGGGAGGGGGAGGGAAAGGGGAGGCGGCGGTGGGGAAGAGACAGAAATCTTTAATAAATAAATAAATAAATAAATAAATTTAAAAAAAAAGAAGAAGAAGAAGTCTCCATGTCATTATTTGGGAGCTGGCTGGCAGGACTTGTTACAGGCAACTGTGGTAACGATACCACCTGGTCTCCTCCCAGCATCTGTTTACTGCCTAAACAACCTTGAGGGGCAACCCCTGGCAGCTTCCCTCATAATCCCATAATAACTGAAGAAATACTTCCTGAGGAAAGAGCCCCACAAATTCTTTCATACACATATCTCTGATCCCCAAGTCCTTGGTCTTTTAATGTTTTCACTTCATAGATATTCATTGACTTTTGAAAGCTGAGTATCTAGAAATAATTTGGATATATTGGACTATATCAAATACATTGTTAAATTGATTCTATTTGTTTGAGTGCTAGAAATCTCTAAACTCTTTTGTGGCTCCATTTACATTTCCGTTTAAGAGCTCTGCCCTACAAGCATGATCAGACTGTAATTGTATTTTTATCTTCATAATCAATTCGCTGTGAACAACATGCAGGTTTTATTGCATCCGACTAGGTACACAGCATGCCAGGACATCTCTCTCCTGTGATGCTGAAATGTGCCACTGTATTCAGGTCTTGTCACTCAGCCCCACACTGTAAATCTCAGGAGGGTGTCACCTTTATGGTTTAGCAACCACTGATGAGCAGGAAAAGTGTTAACACTGCAACCTCCATTAGCTGTCTTCAGCCCTTCTGTAATGCATGTGCGGGGTAATCTTTCTGTGTACTGTGAAGACGTGTCACTGTTTTGCCTGATTGGTTCAATGAAGAGCTGAGTGACCAATCACTAGGCAGGAGAGGTTTGATGGGACCTCTGGGCAGAGATAGGAAACTGGGATGAATCTAGGTGCATGAGAGAGATAGCAGAGACGTGGAGGGAGTCGGACATACAGAATGGAGGAGAGATTAAAAAGTCACATGTCGAAACACAGATTAATAGAAGCAGGTCAATTAAGTTATAAGAGCTAGTTGGAAACAAGCCTAAGCTAATGGCCAAAACTTCATAATTAATAGTAAGTCTCCATGCCATTATCTGGGAGCTGGCTGTTCCCAAGAGAAAGTTGACAAGAAATTCCTACTGCGAATGCAGATCTTGTCATCATCAACTCTTCTTAGCCTTAACTTGATTCCTATAGGAAAACTAATCATTTGAAATGTGAATGTGATCATCTCAATTCTATACTTAAAATGCTTATGTGGCCATTCACTACAAGTTTAAAACAAACTCCTCGTTGGGGACTTAGCTCAGCTGATAGAACGCCTGCTGGTATGAAGTCCTGGGCTTGATCTCCAGCACTGTGTAAATTGCACACGGTGACATATTCCTGCAATCTAACCACACAGGACATGGAGGCAAGAGGATCAGATCTTTTAGGTGATCCTTGGCTTCACAGCAAGTTTCAGGACCACCTGGGGACACAGACCCCATTTGTTATAATTACCTATACTCGTTCTCAGCTCTCTGTTTGGAATTAGAGTACATTTGAAACCCCATCATCACAGGACCACGTGCAGCTCTGTGATTTACCATAGACTTCCCTACTTACCCACCTTCACGTCCACTCCTTCCTGGAAAATGCTTTTATCCACCTCACACTTAGAGCATCTCAGTGATACTTCCAGGTGTCTACCTATTCGCCCTTCTCAGCAGTTTTCTTGTGTACATTTCTCACTGTGTAGCCTCAGCTGGCCTGGAATTCACTGTATGAAACAGGTTGATCTGAAACTCACAGAGATTTGCCTGCCTCTGACTCCCAAGTGCTGAGAATAAAGTTGTTCACCACCGTGCCTGGCTTGAGAAGTTCACCAGGGATTTCTGTGATTCAGCTGGTGAAACACAGGGTTTTTATTATATCTGCAGGGCAGCTCCCTCAACTGTCCATTAGGTCATTCTCATGGAATACAAAGATAGAGAGGCATACAGCGTCCCCTTCTGATTGGCCCTTGTGCTTCAGCACCTCCACAGACAAGGGCTCTGTCTGTCTGGTGGACTGGCTGTGGTTCAGGCTGCAAGACAGATGGGCACTGTGCCTCTGGGGGAGTAAAGTGGTGCCTGGGCTGCAATGAGTGGGCGTGGCTATAGATGGTGTGCCCAGATGTAGCAGACAGATGAGTAGAAATTGATACTTGCATTATATTACCTTTTAATACTTTCTTATAACTTTGACATATTGTGACAGGTGGCGGAACCTATTCTTTGGGCATAAAACTCTGGTCACAAGAGCACCGCTTCTATAGTCTGTTCTCAAGATGATCAAGGTCCTCTGGGCAGTCAGGCATGACGGCACATCCCTCCCATCCCTTGGGCGGCAGAGGCAGGAGTACCACAGCAAGTTCAAGGCCAGCCTGAAGAATTTTAACCTGAAGATGCTGCAATAATCTTTCATTGTATTCGAATATTCTAGTTTGGATTTGGACTATTGGATTCGGTCACCCTAGCGTACTGGATGCTTTCTCTACCAACTGGTCTTTCCCGTTCACCATCATTTCCCTCCCACCCAGCTCTACGCTATTTTCTATATACGCAAAACACACAACAAATAGCTAATAACCAGTTAATAAACCATTTAAAATTGACAACAGATCTCTCCACCTCTGGCAATCATTAAATGCCCCAGTATCGCGTTCATTTCACATCCTCACCTTCTAAGATTCAATATGACTTCAATTTCCATTTCCCAACAACCCTGCCTAGTTCGCTCTCTCTCTCTCTTCTTTTAATTTAGAGAAAAAAGAAACTTTTGAGTCCCCGAGAAAATACAGAAAAATGGTATTTTAATCATATGCAATGTCACGGTCTCTTAGAAATAGATGATATATACAGACAGGTAGGAAATAAACCCCCTGGCCATGTGAGACAGCCTCGGACTTTCATTGTATCACATTCCACAAGCCTTGCCTGGCTGTACGGAATGAACGTACTGTGATGGTGGTCTCAATATCATTGTATTGTGGGAGTGGCCATGACAGCTACTAACGAAACAGAAACTACCTGATGTTCCAAGAGGAGTATTGGCAAGCTGTACCTTCACAAGTGGTAGTGCGCATGCGCTGCGCCATCCTCCTGGGAAAGGCTGGGAACATTGATTCACAGTAAACGGAAGTGGTCTGAAGCGGTCACATCCGCTTAAATCTTGACGCTGATCGGTTCTGTTATTTTGCCAGGATAGCATGCGAGTTTGGATTCTGAACACTGAGCTTCAGTGGGCGGAAGTCGCGGGACACCGACGTCGGTGACCAGAGCTCTCTGAGGCGCGGCGCCAGAAAATGGGCGAGCAAAGGAGGACTCGGCTGGTGAGTGTTGGTTTGTGCTGAGTGACAGCTGACGCGGCCACAGGGGATGCTGTAGTTGAGCTGGGGAGGGAGTCCTGTGAGAGTCGGGAGAGCAGGGATGCTGAGGGAGGCCACGGAGTCCGCCACACCGAGCCTGGGGCTGGTGTCTGGGGGCAATCGCGCTGCTTTCGCGCCAAACTGTGTGGCCTGCAGGAAGAGAAAAAGTAGATTTAAAATGGAAAATTAATTTCTTCGTGATTTGGGCCCAGTTTGAAGACCAGCCATTCTCGGTCAGTCAGTCGCTTCTCCCAGCAGGGCTAGTACTAAGAACACCACTTAGCAGGGGGCACAGTCACCAGAGCTGGGAGGTGAGGAGCCTTTGTGCAGGTAGCAGGGCTTCTAGGACAGGACCTTTTCATTCCCGGCAGACCATCTCCTGTAGGAAGCTTGAGATGCAAAAACAAACCTAAAAGGCAAATCCTAATCCCTGGGTCCACTTTACATGAGGGCTGGGGTCCTTTGCAGATGAGGTGGGTCAATGCTGACCTCTGCTGGGGACCATGTGGCCACGGTAAGGGTCGGTGATTGGCATTTGTGTCATGGGGATGTTCTTCGGGCTGCAGAGTTTATTGAAGGTTCTCTGGAAACCTGTAAATAGACGTCTCTGGCTAGTTCTTGGCTGTCAAAGTAGTAATGCTCTGTGGACCTGTGCATGACCATGTTTTACTCGGTGCTCTTCTGGTCCTCTGATTGGAGGTCACTGAAAGTCCAGGATGTCACCGAGTACATCCTCTTCACCATGAAGACATTGTGAATAGGGTCCTGTGGCCTGGTGTTTATGTGGAGGGTTTCCAAGTCAGGGAAGGGATTGGGTCTCTGAATTCAAGTGAAGAGAATGGGATGTTGGTCAGTAGATGTTCACAAAAATGTCTAGAAATGCAGAAAGAACCAGAAGCGGCCATTACCCCCCCCCCCCCCCACTGCATCCCATCTCTGCTCTCAGAAGGCAGGATGAAGCAGATAGGTTTCTGGGCACTGAGCACACTAGGAACTGCCTGAGATAATGGGGACTGTGTGTGGTTTGGTGTAGGGAAGAGATGAGACTGGTCCCCACTCTGTCTTTTGGGGTGCATTATAGAACAGCACGTAGCCTTATTTATAGTGTCTGAGGGAAATGGTTATACTGATGCTTATGAAATGGTTAAAAGAGTTCTGTGAGGGCTGGAGAGATGGCTCAGAGGTTAAGAGCACTGGCTGCTCTTCCAGAGGTCTTGAGTTCAATTCCCAGCAACCACATGGTGGCTCACAACCATCTATGAGATCTGGTGCCCTCTTCTGGTGGGCAGGCATACATGAAGACAGAACATTGTATACATAATAAATAAATTTAAAAAAAGAGTTCTGTGAGAGTTGAGAGCAGAGGCAGGTGGAACTCTGTGAGTTCAAGGTCAGCCTCGTCTACATAGAAAGCCCCAAGCTAGCAAGAGCTACATAGTGAGACCACGTCTCAAAAATGCTGAGCGTTGGGGCAGCCTGCATGAACAGCTTGACAAAGGAGCAGCCTGGCAGCTTGCTTGTTTTTGTGTGTATTTATAGGCAGGTGCCGAGAGTGGGCTGAGCTTCAGGGGAGTTCAGGTCCCCAGTGCTCACAGTTCACACCTGCACCCTTACTTCAGAAACAACTAGGTTACTACCTCCTCCTCTCACAGTTAAAAACTGGGAACTTCAGTGAAGTGTTCCTTAACTTCAGTCCTAACTATGGTGTTGGGTGTTTACTTCAGGGGATGGAGTTGTTTGGGATTTTTGGTGTGTGTGATTGTGTGTAATGTTTGTACGTGGATGGGGGTATAGGTACGTATGTCTGTCAGTGCACATGCTCTGAGGCCAGAGTAAGCCATGAGTGCCCTGCTCCATCAATTCCAGCCTTATTCCCTGGAGCTAGGCTGATAGCCAGGGAACCCAGAGACACTCCTCTTTTGGTCCCACACAGTGCTGGAGTTACAGACATTTGTGGACAAGCCTGCCTTCTTCAAGTTGCTGGGGATTTGAACTCAGGTCCTCGTGCTGGTGCCACAAGCTCTCTTACACATAGCACCTTCTCCCCGGGGTCATCACCCTGGTCAGTACCAGGAAGGCTCTTCTGAGATTTTTCTGTTATCGTGTCTACACTGGGACTGTCTTGGCCCCTCAGAGACCCATGTGTGGCAAATTTAGCGGGGGACACAAGGTCATTCCCTCCCTGGGGCTTTCTGCTGTCACTTTACACCTAAGTCAGACCATGTCATCCAGGCTATGGGGTTTTCTGCCCCACCACAGCTGCCCTCTCTGCTCAGCTGCCTCCTGGGGGCCTCTAGACACTCACCCAGCTTCCGGTTCCTGAGAAAATTGGATCTGCCAGCAAAGAGGCCAAGGAGAGAAACATGCCTGCTGACATGAATTTGTCCCAGAAGCCAAAGAGACTGAACCAACAGGAGCAGGATGGGTCAAGCGAGGTAAGCAGCAGCTGCCTGGAGTCCAGTTCTCTGAGACTGGAAGACAGACATGGGAAGTAGCAGGTCCTGGGCCCCCAGTCCGATACAGACTTGCTGCTTCAGCGAGAACAGACCACAGGGGCCAATGCCCTGCACCTCCCGGTCTTTATGTCACTCACTGTCCTGCTTCTTGGTGCTTAGATTTAGATGTAGCCCTCAAACCTGCATCCCATTTCCAGAGTCCCCAATCCTTATCTTCCTGTCCCAGTTCATAGCCACTGTCGTTTTGTGAATATCTTGAAGGAGTTTGTTTGATGTGGGTGCATGGCAGGTAAGTATTGGAGACCATGAGTGTCTGATGATGCCTAGCCACAAATCAAAATTCAGCTGTTTACTTCTCTAGGAGTGGGGGGCCTGGGAGAACACAGTGGTAAAGAGGCAGACTAAAGTCTTGTTCGGTATCCATGAGTTGTCTTCTGGTTCATGGAAGGACTGTTTACATGCAACGATGTTGCATATGAGTTTCTGAATTAACGAAGATTCCCAAAGCTAAAATGTAGCAAGCAGCGCAGTTGATTCTGTGCAAAGTCTTCAGCTTCTGGGTGTTCCTTCTTTGTCTGGTTGTCAGCTTCCCTTGGCAGTTCACTGCTCTGTGAACTCAAGTGTCAGGCTGCTTGTTCCTCTTTGAAGTATTCATTGACAACCCATTTCTGCCTGCTTTGGGGAAGAGAAATATGCGTGTACAAGAGATGGAAGATTATTTTTACTAACTTTTTTGACTTCTGAAATATTCAAATAATACACACATATGTATTATTCATATAATATGAAATAGCTATTTTCTGGAAAGACCAATGATATGTCTCAGTAAAGGATCCCTGAACTGCATTGTTATGTGTAATGTGATAACTAACTCAAAATGAACCGCACTTTGCTGTTACAGAGATTGGTGTCCTTTGAGGATGTGACTGTGGACTTCAGCTGGGAGGAGTGGAGGCGCCTGGACTCCGCCCAGCGACACCTGTACCAGGATGTGATGCTGGAGATCTACAGCCACCTCTTGGCAGTGGGTGAGCACAGCTGGCCGGAGATCCAGGATGGGCCTCATTGAAAGTATTTTCCCTTCTTTTTGTAGAACGTGATGGGGTATCAAAACTGTGTCAAGGCTTTTCCCTATGGTTTGTCCTGATAATTCATTACTTTTAAACATGCTTAGTTAATTGTGTTGAAATTAGGAGCGGCAGGGCTGCGTCCCCGGCACCTGGCCGCCCGCATGGCTAGTTTATGCCCAGAAATAATTACACGGAAACTGTATTCTTTCAAACACTGCCTGGCCCGGATAGTTCCAGTTCCTTATGGCTAGCTCTTACATATTGTTCTAACCCATTTCTAATATTCTGTGTAGCCCACGAGCTGGCTTACCAGGGAGGATCTTAACCTGCGTCTGTCTGGAGCGGGAGAACCATGGCGACTCCTCCACCAAGCCTCCTTCTCCCAGCATTTTCCTCTGTTTTCTCCACCCACCTAAGGGTGGGCCTTATCAAGGGGCCTAGGCAGTTTCTTTATTAATAAAAAATCACTCCCACATCATAATTGTTCTGTGCCCACTACAGAATGTTGATTTTTCCAACCAAAGCCTAAAAGCCACACACTGAGCAAATATTCTTCCAACTTACAGGGCACCCCATTCCCAGCTCTGGGGCCATCTTCAGGAAAAAGAAAAGAAAGGTGGCATGGATGGGAGAGGCTGAGTTCCCACATCAGCAGAGTCGGTGTCAAGGTAAGTGACCTGGATGGAGGTCGATGTCATTGGTGTCCCTTGTCATCCATCCTCACTGTCCATCCCCTAGTGGTGTCCCCTCGTTTGCTTGCCGCTCTCGCTTTCTAAGCTTATGGTGCAGCCCATGAGATGGACCACAGCAGTGGGTGCCAAGCCTGCCTCCCACTCCAGCTCTCTACAGCCACTGCTGCAATCAATGCTTTGTGAATATGGATAAGGCTTTCAGGGGTGAGCACTGGGTATGAACTGCCTCATCCTGGAGATGACCTGAACTAACTAACACAACCATATTCTCCAGAAGGTCTACACGTAGATTTGTATTTGTACACCTTGTCTACAAACAATGACAAAAAAAATATGAGGGAAACGTAGTGGTGGTTGGTGATAGAGATAAATGCATTGGTGGATCCACGTGTTGGGTAAATGCGTTGGGTAGGAAGGGAATTGATCTTTTGTTTTTGTGTTAACCATGGTTAGGGCTGGGGATGTGTAGTTCAATGGTAGAGCGCAGAGCCTTGGGTTCATTCCCCAGTGTGATAGAAGTATAGACAGACAGACAGACAGACAGACAGACAGCTGTGTCAACACTGATAAGATACATTAGTGAGGTATAAAGCTTTAGCATAGGTGGTGATAGTTTGCATTGGATATGTTTTCAGTTGGCTTCATTGTCATCTTCTTATAAAGCCATCACTATGTGTTTTCCTCTCCTGCTCCTTTCCCCGCCGACCTCCTCCAGTCGCCTCGTGCTGGTTCCTTTCCTTGCCACAAATGTCACCTATGCCCCACTACTCTTTCTTCCTCCTTCCTCTCTTCAGATGCCTTCTCCTTTCACGGTACTTTTTCTACTTTCACGGTTTACACACAATACATGTAGAGATACCTGTATATACACATACAGAAATTAAAATCTGGAGTCTACATGTAAGAAAAGATGTGGTATTTGTCTGAGTCTCTCTTGATTCATCTAACATAATGATCTCAGGTTCCATACATTTTGCTACAGTTTCCATGATTTCTTTTTTCTTTTCGACTAACTAAAATCCCATTGTTTATATATTCTACATTTTCTTAATACATTCATCTGTTGAAAGACATCCGGTTCCATTTCTTAGTGCAGCCATAACTATGGCTGTGCAAGTGTGTCTGCTGATGTTGATGCAGAGTTCTTCAGGATGTGTGCAGGTCTAGCGGGATCATAGGGCAGTTATATTGTAGTTCTTTGAGGACCTTCTGCTAGCTTCTTTAGTGACTTTCTGTGTCCTGCAGCAGTGGGTAGGGGTTTCCGTGTCCCACGCAGTGGACAGGGGTTTCCGTGTCCTGCAGCAGTGGGCAGGGGTTTCCGTGTCCCACAGCAGTGGACAGGGGTTTCCGTGTCCTGCAGCAGTGGGCAGGGCTGTATCTTTCCTTGAATGTATTTGTTTTCTGTTCCTTTGGTAATAGTCATTCTGACTGGGGTGAGCTAGAATATGAAAGAAGTTTTAATTTGCATTTTCCTGATCATTAAGAATATTGAATACTATTTCAAATACTTTTTGGCCTTTAAAGAAGCATTCATTAAATATATTAACTATTTCTTGATCGGAGAATTTGGTGTTTTGGGCATTTGATTCTTTTATAGTTCTCCATATAGTGTATATATTAGTGTAAGTTAGAAAGACTTAATTTTATATAATCATATTTATCAATTCACAGGATTTTTTCCTGTACTATTACCTTCTTTTTCTAGAAGTCCTAATCTGTGCCTGTATCTTTAAGAGTTTTGCATCTGTCTCCCTTTAGCAGTTTCAGACTTTCATACATTACATTAAGATCTTCAGTCTCGGGGCTGGAGAGATGGCTCAGCTGTTAAGAGCACTGCCTGCTCTTCCAAAGGTCCTGAGTTCAATTCCCAGCAACCACATGGTGGCTCACAACCATCTGTAATGAGGTCTGGTGCCCTTTTCTGGCCTGCAGGCATACACACAGACAGAATACTATATACATAATAAAATAAATAAATAGATATTTTAAAAAAAAAAGATCATCAGTCTGTTAAAAGTTGTTAACCATTTATACTAAAGTTTCCAGGTTTTTTAATATAAGATTTCTCCAGCGATCTGTTGTGTGTGTTTGGAAATAGTTGTAATAGCCTCTTGTTCATTTCTAATTTTATTGAGTCTTCTCTCTGTGTCAGTTAAGCTAGAGGGTTTTTTTTTTTGTATGTGTAGGTGTCTTGCCCACACATAGGTATATGCACTATCTGTGTGCAGTGCCTACAGAGGCCAGAAGATGGCATATAATCCCATAGGACTAGTGTTACAAAGAGTTGTGAGCTGCCATGTGGGTGCTGGAAATTGAACCTGGGTTCTCTGGAAGAGCAGTCAGTGCTCTTAACAGCTGAGCCATCTTTTGAGCCCCAACCTCATTTATCAGTTTGTTTCATTCTGTGTATTGTTCTGTTAATTTCCATTTCATTAATTGCTGCCTTGATCTTTATCTTTTTCTTTCCATCTACTACTTTGGATTTTGCCTTTTTCTTTGTTTTCTAAGATCTTTAGTTGCATCATTAGGTTGAACTCTCTCTTCTTTCTTTAATGCAAATACCTCAGATATCAACTTTGTCTTAGAACTGTCATTAGCTGTATCCAAAGAGTACAGAAATGATTTAATATCCTCCCTGCTTTCTTTGAGACTTGCTGTTCTATGTCCATGTGTCTGTGCAGCTTCTTTTATTGTTGGTGTCTATTTTATTCCATTATGGTCTTTTAAGATACCAGAAGTTGTCTCAAATTTTTCGTATTGTTCAGAGTTGCTTTGTAACCTAGCATGTGGTCTGTTCTTTGAGGAACTTCTATGGGAATATTGTACAGACTATTCCATGGACAATAGTCTGTAGGTATCCCTTAGATGTGTTTGGTCGGTGTTGTGGGATTTCCTTGTTTAGATTTATTTTTGTGTGCATGTGTGTGTATCTGTGTAAACACATGCCACATGTATGGGGGTTTCCACAGAGTTCACAAGAGGATGTTGGACCCCTGGAGCTGGAGTTAACGGGACTTTGTGTGCTGCCTGATGTAGGTACTGGAAACGAAACTCCGTTCTTTGAAAAAGCAGCAGATGCTTTAAACTATTCTCACACCACAGTATGAGATTGGAAAAGTAAGGAAAGGCTACTACATATGTAAATGATGTTAGAAAAGAAAAACTTTCTGATCTTAGGTTGTAGCTCAAAGAGAGAGTGCTTTCCCAGATGGAGTAAGACAGAGAGCTGGGGACATGACTATATGAGTACTTAGCTGGATGAAAATATGGGCAAAAAGCACAAGTGTGCCACTTCTTACCCGAGCTCTGGTGTGTAGGTACCCTATATAAGTTGATGTGCTGTTTTTGTCGAGTCTTCCCTACAAATATTTGAAGCCACATTTACCACGGACGCCAGTATTCATATTAGTATTTCTTCATCTGTAAAACAGGCAGAGTAGTTAGAATTGCCTTAGAGGATGGTGTGGGGATAAAATGAGTCTGTTTCCGTCATAGAGAAAGCTGCCTGTCTGGCAAGTCTGTACCTAATGTTTGGCTTATGGTAAGGGATGTGGTTATGTTCTACTCAATGTCAGCAGTACCTCACTGTTTTTAGCTCTGTGCGATTCCTCACGCTTCCTGTTCGTTACGCCTGTCCTCTCATCTCTTTTCTTCTTCCAGAGGTGGAATCAGAGGTTTCTGCCCCTCGACCAAGACTTTCTGAGACTGAAGCATTTCCAGTGAGCAAGGCGAGTGAAATCACAAGACACGCCCTGTGGTGTTCTATCGTAGGACTGTGGCAAGATCCTGACCCTACAAAAAGAAATCGGCAAAGCCGGAAACCACCTTGGAGTGCCGGTGCTCCCCTCAGCAAGAAAGCTCAGAGCACAGACAGAGGCTGTGGATGGAAAGAGCCTGCGGAAGCCACTCCTTTGGTGTCCAGCCTCGTCTCCACACAAAAGGGAGCCCCGGAGGGACTCACAAACAGTGAGAGGCATAACCTGGAGGCAAAGGGTGAAGACCAAAGCAATATCACTAAACAGCTTAAAGATGTTGTTACCTCTGGTCAGCTCTTCCTGGGAGACTCTTCTAATGCGAACCACACAATTCCTCACGAAGGCCAGAATTCACACAAAGGTAACCAGTGCCGGAAAGTTCTCACCCGCAAACACACACTGAGACAGCAACAAGGGCATCCTCAGGAGAAACCAGACGAATGCCCTGAATGTGAAAAGGTCGTCTATGACATGGCTGCTTTCAGCGAACATCAGGCAACTCACGCTGGAGAAAAGCCTTTCGTCTGTCACAAGTGTGGGAAAGCCTTCCTCCAGAAGTCAGAGTTGACCTCCCATCGAGAAACTCACGTAGAGAAACCTTATGAGTGCCCCGACTGTGGGAAATCATTCAGTCGTACATCCAACCTGCAGGTTCATCATCGAATTCACACTGGAGAGAAGCCTTACGAGTGCCGCGACTGTGGGAAGTCCTTCAACAATACATCTCAACTGAAGGTGCATTGTCGAATACACACCGGGGAGAGACCTTACGTGTGCCCTGTATGTGGGAAAACCTTCAAGCAGAAGTCAATCCTCTGCACTCACGAGACCATTCACACCGGGGAGAAGCCTTACGAATGTACTGTCTGTGGGAAATTGTTTAGCTGTACGTCCCGACTGAAAGTCCACTATCAGATCCACAGGAAGGAAAAACCGTATGAATGTGCTGACTGTGGGAAAGCCTTCAAGCGCAAGTCAAGTCTCATGGTCCACCAGAAGATACACATTAGACAAACCCAGCATGTATGCCGTGAGTGTGGGAAAGCGTTCAGTCAGAAGTCAGAGCTCAGCACGCACCAGAGAGCCCACCTGGGCCAGCGTTCTCACAGATGCGATGCCTGTGGGAAGGCATTTACTTATGTATCGCAGCTGAAGATGCATCATCGAGTCCACACAGGGGAGAAGCCTTACGAGTGCCGCGACTGTGGGAAGTCATTTACTTACTCGTTCACACTGAATGTGCATTGTCGCATTCACAGAGTGGAGAAACCTCACAGATGCACTGTCTGTGGGAAAGCCTTGGCTTCCAAGTACCAACTGGAAGAGCATGAGCGGATTCACACAGGAGAGAAGCCGTACGTGTGCACCGCGTGTGGAAAAGGTTTTCATGGTAGGTCAGGTTTCCTGAGGCATCAGATAACTCACACCAGGGACAAGCCTTTCGTCTGTCCCAAGTGTGGGAAGGCCTTCTTTCAGCGCTCACAGTTGACATCTCATCAGCAGACACACACAGGAGAGAAACCTCACGAATGCCGTTACTGTGAGAAATCCTTCAGTCATACGTCCCAATTGACAGTGCACCATCGAATTCACACCGGGGAGAGACCTTACAAATGCAGCTACTGTGGGAAGTCGTTCAGTAATTCCTCCCAACTGAAAGAGCATCTCCGCATTCACACCGGGGAGACACCATATGCGTGTTCTGAGTGTGGGAAGGCCTTCAGCCGGAGGTCATCCCTCAATCTGCACACGAAAATTCACACTGGAGAAAAGCACCATGTGTGTAGTGAGTGCGGGAAAGCCTTTAGTCAGAAGTCCGTCCTTCGAACACATCAGAGAATTCACACCGGAGAGAAGCCTTACAAATGCCGTGACTGCGGGAAAGCCTTGGCTTCAAAGGGCCAGCTCCGAGATCACCAGAGAATTCACACAGGCGAGAAGCCCTACGTTTGCACCGAATGTGGGAAGGGTTTCTTTGGCAGGTCATCTTTGCATAGACATCAGATAACTCACACTAAGGAGAGACCTTTTATCTGTCAAAAATGTGGGAAAACCTTCATCCAGAAATCAGCATTGGTATCCCATCAGCAAATTCACACAGGCGAGAAACCCTACGTGTGCCCTGAGTGTGGGAAGGGCTTCTACAATAAGTCCTCCTTGCCCAGACACCAGTTGACTCACACCAGGGGGAGATCTTTTATCTGTCAACAGTGCGGGAAGGCATTCCTGCAGAAGTCCGTGTTGAAATGCCATCAGCGAACACACACTCGCAAGAAGCCGTAGGAATGCCATGGGAAACTGTTCCATAACACGTGGCCCCGAAGGCCATCGTCATAGCCGCAGAGCAATGCAGAGAGGACGAGAAGTCATCCAGCGTCAGCACAATGGATGTGCAGCATTGGATTCCCACTGGGGGAAGACACTGTTGTATTCCGAAAGAGGGAGGCCTTCAGCAATGTGTCCCATAGCAATAAGCACCAAGCAGCTCACACCAGACACGGTTCTCGCAGGCTCGGTTTAGATGTGAAATCCTTTTCCAAGAAATCAGTTCGTAGTCTCTGTTTCCACCTGAGGTATAATCCTTAAATTACTTGAAGAAAATGTTTTAAAAGAACGTATTGTACATTATATCTTCTCTGCGTTAAATTATCTCGATATGCTCTGCTTTCTTAAACTCATTATTCATGAGAGACATTTGTAGTATGATTATGGGTTTCACCCTAGGAGGAAACCCGCATGCAATGGACTGAGAAAAGTTTCTGTATAGAAAATGGCAAAAGCCACATTGTTTCCAGACTATAGAAAAGTTTTGGAGATATTGTATCAACAATATTCCTGTTAATTGTTAGATAGTAGTATTTCTATATACAAGAGAGGAAAGGACAAGATGGTGTTACCTCTCAAAAGTATGTCTAATGTGTATGTATGGTTGCATTTTCCTTTGTATGACACCAATGTTTACATACGTATTGCCTTAGACTAGTGCGGTGTGACACAGAATTTATTGCCTAACAGGAGTTTCTTTTTTAAGAGTCTAATGTGTGTTGACAGCCTATCCCTTATTCATACCACTATCAATAATTAATTCGTCTTTTCATCATATGAAAGTAACTTCTGAGGTAAACCCATAAGTGAAATTCTATAGCAGTCACTGCTCCTTGTACTGTAACTTTTCTCTTTTGTGAGTAGCTCAGCTTATCTTTTCTCCACGTGTCCCATCCGTAGTGAGCCACGCAGACAGAACCAGCAAAGACTTCTTCATAGTTTTGCGCAGGCTTCTAATGCACACAAGAAGACAGTAAATGGTGTGTGTGTGTGTGTGTGTGTGTGTGTGTGTGTGCGCGCGCACATACATGAGTGTGTGCCAGGACACATGTGTGAAAGATAAAAAACAATTTGTGGGAGTTGGTTCCTTATTAACAGCATGCAGGTCCCCAAAACAGAACTCAGGTACTAAGTCATCAGGTATGGCAACATGTGCCGTTAGCCTCTGAGCAAGCTCATGCTCACCTATGGATTTCTTTTTTCTTTCCTTTTCTTTTCTTTGAGTCAGAGTCTTACTATGTAACCTTGGCAGAACTGGGGCTTACCAGGCTGGTCCTGAACTCACAGAAACTCACCTGCTGCTGCCCCCCAAGTGCCGGGACTAAAGGCGTGCACCACCATGCCTGCTTGAATTTTTGAAATGAAGTTGTCTGCAGCATAGCCACACTCATTTGCATATATTCTGGTTGTGGTTTGTTGTTCCCCTGTACCACTGAGTAATTGTGGGAGAGACCATGGGGTCCCTGAGCTACGAATGTTTCCTTTCTGGCACTTGACAGGATGTATTTGCTGGTGACTAACACATACATGACTATTCACATAATCCTTTGTTTTATAAAAAGCAAACCACATCTCTGTGGATATTGGTTTTCTACTCTAAAATACATACCTTCACTGGCAGTGTGGTAGTCTGTGAAGTTGAAATGCCATAATCCAGAGCCAGGTGTGATGGCGCACGCCTTTAATCTCAGCACTCAGGAGGCAGAGGCAGGCAGAACTCTTGAGTTCGAGGCCAGCCTGGTCTGCATAATGAGTTCCAGGACAGGTAGGGCAATAAAGATCCTGTCTCTCAACAACAGCAAAAAAATTGGAATATCTTCCTGAAAAAAATGAAGGAAAATAGTCAGAAAGGGGGAGCCAAAGAGAAGGGTAACTGGGTTCAACTGAAGCAGCAGCCTAGTCCACCTAAATAAATAGACTTGTGAGAACTAACAGAAAAAATGCCTGAGATGCTGCAGCCTGTTCCCTGTGAGTCATTGCTTGGTGTTAAAAAACAAAAGAGAGAAAAGAAAACCTTGACTGTAAACAAGAAAACACGGAATAAGGAGCTGAGCTGAGAATTCTCTGAGGAACACATACAGTCAAATTCTTTTTTAAAAAAAAATTTATTTATTTTTATTTATTATCTATACAATATTCTGTCTGTGTGTATGTCTGCAGGCCAGAAGAGGGCACCAGATCTCATTACAGGTGGTTGTGAGCCACCATGTGGTTGCTGGGAATTGAACTCAGGACCTTTGGAAGAACAGGCAATGCTCTTAACCTCTGAGCCATCTCTCCAGCCAAGTTCTTTTAAAGCGGTTAGCCTCCTTAGCTAACGTCTCACTCTGTTGGGAAGAGCTGCTGTCAACTGACAGCAGATCCGCTGAGGCTGTGAAGAAAGGGAGCCTTGCTTGACTGCGGGGGGAAGGTAGATCGCTGCAACTCTAACGAAATCAGCGCGGGGTTTTGTTGTTGCGTTTGGTTTTTTGGATTGGATTGGATTGGATGTTGAGACAGAATCTTACTGTGCAGCCTTAATGGTGGTTTCTGAAATTACTGAAACTTGAACTAGCCCACGACCCAGCCACTTTTGGATACACATCTTGGGACTCTGTACTGTACCACAGAGATCCCGACACACCCATGTTTACACAATAGCGAAGAAAGGATCAGTCTAGATACCCATCCATAGTGATGGATGTATAATGAGGCTTTAGTATAAATACAGTAGAATTTATGGGTCATGAAAATGAAATTCACGGGAAAATGACATGTTCTCTCTCATACACAGATGCTAGCTTCTGACTTTATGTATGTGCGGCTTCAGCTTCCGAGTGTGTTCAGTGGCCCCTCACCTCCTATGAGGCAAATGCTTCATCCCGGTGAACAGCTGTGGTTTGGGCTGCAAGACAGATGGGCACTGTGCAAGGACAAGGTTGTGCCGAGATGCAGTACGTGGGTCTAGTTAGCAACAGTGATGTGCTTAGAAGTAGCAGATAAATGGGGAGCAGAGATTGACGTTCGCATGATACTAACTTTCGTGGGGTTTACTCTAATTTTGCCCTCTGATGATGGATGGCTGAGCTCACTCTTCGAGTACCCTGGAGCTGTATCTTTGATGATGAAACTGTGTTCTCTGAATCATCACTCCTGTAGTCTGTTTTCTATAGGATCGTCTGTGATCCGGGAATGATGGCATGTTGTAATCCTAGCATCTGAATGGCATAGACAAGAAGAGTGGAGTAAATTGAAGGCCAGCCTGGTTTACGTAGTCTAGCCCAGTGGTTCTCAACTTCTAACGCTGTGACCCTTTAATACAGTTCCTCATGCTGTGGTGACCCCAACAATAAAATTGTTTTTGTTGCCACTTCATAGCTGTAATTTTGCTACTGTTACGAACTGTGATGTAAAGATTTTTGGAACTAGAGGTTTGCCTCAGGTTGAGAACCACTGTTGTAGGCTGGAATGTGTTTACCCTGGAGATGACTCTCACAGTCTTTGACTTTGTTCTCCTACCCCATTAGGCCTTCCGATGCACTCACTGCAGTGCTGGCTGCTGTCCCCACTGGCCGGTCTCTCTCCATCCACCACTGTTTCCACTGTCCGCCTAGATCTACACTGTTTCTGTTATGCAACCTAAGAAGAGCAGGTGGCTATCCTCTGGGAACCATGAGGTACCCCCAGTATGAAGTACTCCCCAATGTAAAGTACATGAGGGTTCATCTCAGAGTCTCACCTTTAGTATTCCACATGGCTTCACTTCCTGTTCCTAACCTCTGAGAGATCAGAAAGGGCCTGTGTGGTGGCACACACCTTTAATCCTAGGACTCAGGAAACAGAGGCGCGGATGTCTGCGAGTTCGAGGCCAGAATGAGCTACCTGGCCAGTTCCAAGCCAGTCAGGCCGACATAATGAGACCGTCTCAAACACAAGAACCCTTTTAAGTTCTGGTTATAATAAAGACAAAATGTGAAGAAAAGGAGAGATGGCTCCGTGGTAAAAGGGAACGTGTTGCTCCTGCAGATGTCCTGGGTGCTGTGAGCTCAACGTGCAGGCAAAAATACATAGAATAAATCGAATAAAGTAAATCAGATACAGGGGAAAGGTACTTTTAGCAACATGTAGTATCACAGTCTCTTAGAAAAAGATAAGCGTACAAGTAGTAACGCAAACCCCTGACAATGTGAGACAGTCCTGGACTTTCATTGTATCATATTCGCCTGGCTATATGGGACTGACGCACTTTGATGGTGGCTTCCCTGTCACTGGAGTGCGGGTGACACTTTATGAAAGCATAGAAACCATCATATGAGCCATAGTAAGTACTGGCAAGATTGACCTCCCTAGTGGCGGTGCGCATGCGCATCATCCACGAAGGGGGGGGGGGATGTGGTAATGGGCTGAAGGAACCATTATTCAAATCGGAAGTGGCCAAGAATCGTCACATCGGCTCAGATCTTTAGGTAGTTTGCTTCAGCTATCGTTGCCAGGACAGCGTGGGTGTTTGGAGTCCGAACTCGGTACCGTGGGTGGCTGCGGGCGGAAGTCGCGGCCCGGCGGGCCGTGCGCACAGCTCTCTGCGGTGCAGTGAGGTGAGTGGCTGCGGGGCAGGGCGGACGCTGTGCTGCCCAGCGCTGGTCCGTGCCGAGCGAGGGCTGCGGAGGCTGCAGGGGGATGCGTGGGTAAGATGGGGGTCGTTCGATTCGGTTTCGTTCCGTGCCTGCGGTTTTCCACGTCTTCTGTGTTTTGTCACTTCCCAGTGTGCTCTCCTGTGGGAATTCTCACGGTCGTCCGTGAAAATTGTCGTATCAGGACGTTGGTGGCAGGACTCAGTGAGTGTGCGCTGCAGGAGCCGATCCTGGGTGGGAGCCGGGAGCTTCAGGACGAGCTTGATGCCGTGATTGCCATAGGAGCCGGGCGAGAGGGCTGCTCAGGCAGCGATGGAGCCCTGGGGCCCGTGTGCCCTGCTTTGAGGCAACCGCGCTGCCTTCTGGTCTGCTAGTGTTTGAGTAGCTGGAAACTGGAGACCTGGCTCCTCGTCAAACACTGGCCTGCTAGAGGAGAAAAACTCCAAAGAGTAGGTGAAAACGGGAAAATGAATTTTTTTACGTTTTGGTCCAAAGTGGGAACAGTTTCCTCCATCTGTGTTTGCTAAGCAGTGTTGACAATAGAGAGAGCTGCAGGAGAGCCGGGAGGTCCCCGTAGGTATGCCTGATGTCACCTGAGCTGGGACAGAGCCTTGGTGCTGGCCTTGCTGGCCCCAGAGACAGGTGTTCAGGGCATTTCCTTTCCCCGTATTATATTTCCTTTATAGAGGTGGAGTTAAAAAAAATTTTTTTTTTAAAAAACTAATCCTAATTCAGTTCCTATTGCCCATTTACATAACTATTGGATCCTTTGCAGATGTGAGGCCTGATCGGTAAGAATAGGTGACTAACAGTTGGGTTGGTGCTGTAAAGAGGTCTGGGGCCAGAAGTCTGGGTTTCTGCAGCCTCATCTAGTAAACCTATTGAAGAAACCAGTGAGGACGAAGAGCACACAAGGGTTGCCCGCGTTCACGCGGTGTTTGAACTGCCTGAAACAGTTCCAGGGGCTGTGGCGCTCTCCTCTGGCTTGATGGTGCGCAGATGCCTAGACAGACAACACACACAGAGACGCGCATGGCGCGCACACACACACAATTTTATATTTTTTTTCTCTAAGCCCCGCCCCCCAACCCCGTAAACTACTTTTTCCAACTAATCCCCATGTGCTGGTTTAAAAGGAAATGGCCCCATGGCAGTGTCACTGTTAAGAGGTGTGGCTTTCTTGGAGTAGATGTGGTCTTGAAGGAAGTAGAGGTGGACTTTGAGGTCTTTTTTTTCCCTTTATGCTCAAGCTTCCCTCAGTGTGACACTGAGACCACTTCCTGTTGCCTTCTGATCAAGATGTAGCCAGCACCATGTCTGCTTGCACACTACACTACCATCCTTCCCACCGAGATGATAATGGACTAAACCACTGAACTGTAAGCAGACACCTCCATTAAATGTTTTCATCAATAAGAAAGAGTTGCCGTGGTCATGGTATCTCTTTACAGCAATAGAAACCCTAACTAAGACACCAGCTTCTTTAAAAAAAAAAATTAAGGAAAAAACAAAAAGCAGAAGATGGTTACTATAAGCAGAAAAGAAGTAAAATGACCCCATGTCTGTCTGCTGTTCTGATTTGGAGTCTAGGTTTAGAAATGGTAGTTGTGCCTTACAGTAGCCAAGCAGGGTGTGGTGGCACACTGCTGTCCTGCAGTCTTAGCGCTGTAGAGGCAGAGGCTGGAGGATCACTACACATTGACAGCCAGGCTGGGGATGAAATAGGTTAGGAATTGGAACAGAGGAAAAGTCAGGGCCAAAGTGAAGAAGACATACGCACTGTTTTTTAAGGAAAAACAGCTCTGTGTATGTGTGTGTTTTGTTTTTAAGACTTATTTTATGTATATGAGTGTTTGACTGTGTGTATATAGGTATGCCAAGTGTGTTCCCCTGGAAGTAGGGTTACAGGGGGTTGTGAGTCACATGTAGGTGCTGAACCCAAGACATCTGCAAGAGCAACAGTCGCTCTTAACCGTGAGCCCCGTTTCTTTTCCTTCCTTCCTTTCACCGGGGTATCCTATGTACCCCAGGCTAGCCTGCGACTCAGTTTGTAGACTAGTCTGACCTCAGCTGTGGTTGTGCGGCCCCTGCCTCTGGAGTGCTGGGGTTGTAGGTCTACAACTGAAGTTCGGTTTAAACCACACCTGTGCTGAAGGTTCTTCATGGCTGATGAACTGGGGAGTCCTAGAGAGGTTGTAGAGAGGGTGTATATTACAATATGCAGTCTGCCTGTCTTTAGCTGTCTTCTGTCCCCTCAACAGTTAGTCAATATCCACCTATGGATTTTCTCTAACCAGCCCACTAGTTTTCAACACCTGAAGAACTAGGAATGCCATCGGAGAGCATGTGAGGCCTGGTATAGAGATTCTCCCACCTTAGAGTAACCTGCCTCTCCGACGGTGCCACCATTTTTTTTGTTATTGGTTTGGTGTGTGTGTTCTGCACATGTTTATTTGACTGTGGTTACATCTATTTGTACAGGTGAGCATGGAAGCCAGAAGATAATATCCAGTCTTTTCCTCAAGCCCTCCCTATCTGACTTTTTGAGACAGGGTCTCTGTTATCTGTATGTGTGTGTCTGTGTGTGTCTGTGTGGGCACAATGTATAGGTCAGAGGACAACTATCAGAAATTAGTTTTTTCTTTCTGCCAGGTGTGCCCCGGGCATCAAACTATCCCACTCATGTTGTCAGGCTTGTTGGCACCTTTACCCTCTAAGGTTCTCAGCCTTCCTGATACTGCAACCTTCAATACCACCTCATGTTGTGGTGACCTCCAAACATAAAATTATTTCACTGCCGCTTCATAACTAATTTTGCTACTGTTATGAATCATGTTAAGTATATGATATGCGAACCCCAAGGGGGTTGTCATCCATATACTGAGCACCGTTGCCCCAAGGTATCTTTTGGCTCACACCAATGTACTTTAGAAGTGTTTTGGTTTATGGCTTCATTCTGTTCTCTTACTACAAAAATTCCACGGAACGTGGTATTTGGACAACTTGAATCTGCACTGCCAGGCCATTGGAACACTTGGCTCCAGAATAAATTGTTTCTCCACCCTTCGAAGTGTGAGCTGTTCCTGCGTAGCCGGCCTCCAGGGATGGATGACAGAAGTAGCTTCTCCTAGTTTATTTCAGTGTTGCTTCCAAGCCAGGCTTGGTGGAGCCCACATGCATTCCTTGCACTGCGGGATGAGGCACGATGATCTGGATATCAAAAGCAACCTCTGTTATATAGCAAGTTCAAGGCCAGCCAGGTCTACATGAGACCCTACCTCAAAAAGAAAGAAAACAACATCAGTGTTGCTTCCATCCTGGGGTCTGTTATTTGAACCCCTGTGTTATGAGTTTTTTGTGGTTATGTGGAAACAAAGAAATAACACTCTGGCCGGGCAGTGGTGTCGCATGCCTTTAATCCCAGCACTCGGGAGTCAGAGACAGGCGGATCTTTGTGAGTTCGAGGCCAGCCCGGTCTACAAGAGCTAGTTCTAGGACAGGCTCCAAAGCCAAAAAAAAAAGCCTGTCTAAAAAAAACAAAAAAAAAAAAAAAAAGAAAAAAGAAAGAAAGGAAAAAGGAAATAACACTCTGAGGGGAAATTATTGCCTATCAAGGTGGCCATAATTTCAATGTTCTGGGGCATGTCGGTGGCTGGGAAGCAGTCCTGTGGCCAGTCTTTGGAAGTCACTGGAAGGCATTGGTCTGAGTGGCTGCATCAGGAAAGACATGCATCATCAGCCAGAGGGCTGTTGGTACCTGTATGTGACAAGCTGATGGAGTCACTGACCTCAAGGCCATCCTGGAGTATACAGTGAGTTCTCTGTCAGCCTGTGCTGCACAATAGCACACTGGCTCAAATAAAAATAAAATGGGGCAAAATTAAAAGAAGGAAAGGGTAGGCTTTCAAAATAGAGGTCCTGGTCCCTGTATATACCTATACATTCTTTGCTCTGGGAGGGAATTGTGGGCATCAACTACAGAGATATATCAGAGGCAAACAGGCTGTGCGGTGCATCACTAAGTTTGAATAGTGTCTAGAAACAAGAAAACACCACTGGGGCACTGCCATTTTGTTTAAGTCAGATATATACCGATCCCCTTCTCTTCTATTTGATGACCTTGGGTCATATTAAGGAATATAGCACAGCTTCATTTGCCTCCTCTTAAAACACCAAGTGTAGGAGTGCCTCTGGCGTACAGCTGGAAGAGGGTTTGGGAAATAAGCTGATCACTAGCTGATATTTCTTCACCTTGTGAACTGCCCAGCTGAAGAGCTTCATTCTGCATCAGATTCCCACTGTCAGTGGCAACACCTCATCTTTGCTTTACATCACCTTCCTTAATACCTTTCTGTGGTCACAGTCAAGAGGTGAGGGGAAGAACTGGACATTTCCGGGCTTTTTTTGCTCTGGGCAAATGTTGGGTGAGTGATGATATGGTCATGAACTTTCCAGGGTTTTCTGGTGTCTTTCCAAACCTCTAGGTGAGGCTGATCGCTGCGCCACAACTCTACGTGGATCCCCACATGCCGAGTATCTTCAGAATCCTGAGAAAATCAGAGACCAAGAGTAGAAGCCGCAAAGAACATGCCTACTGACACGAGTTTCTGCCAGATGCCCCAGAGGTTAGGAGCAGAAGAGCAGAATGGCTTGTGTGAGGTGAGGAGAGATGCCCCAGGTTCCACTTTTCCCAGCTAGATTGCAGAAGGTGGAAGCAGCAGATTGGGTTCCTGTCCCGGAGACTGAAACCTCGTCATTCCTTCATCTTGTCATCGGCCTGCTCACTGGGCTACTTCTTAGGGTTAGGTCTATCTGCCCATCTATGACTTCCTGGTGAGTCTATTTCTGTTCAACCCAGAGGACTGACAAAACAAAGAAGTAGGTAAATCCAAGTCTAGCTTAGCTTGGTAAACCAGAGAGTTTTTTGTGTTTATTAATCATGGTGGCTGTATGAAGTACAGCCTTCAGAGGCACGGGGCACTTAGACAGCCACACCATCACCAGCTTTCACCTTCTTCCCCACCGTCTGCCCAGCTTACACGTTTATATAACACGAAGGAGTGGTCTCCTGAACCTCCCTTCCTCCAGGAGGGAATGTTTCCATGCCAAGCTAACACCTAGCAGCGTGGTCTTCACCCCACATGTATTCAGATCCCTGAGCCTTTGACGTGGTCTTCACCCCACATGTATTCAGACCCCTGAGCCTTTGACTTTCTCTCCCACTTCACAGCTACACATTGGCTTCTCAAAGCTCAGTACCTTAATTTCTTTTAATTATATTATTTTGTGTGTATGAATGTTTTGCCTGCTTGTATACCTGTGTTCCTATGTGCGTACAATAAGTACCCATGGTGGCCAAAAGAGGGCATTGGATCCTAGAACTGGAGTTCTAGCCAGTTGTAAGCTACCATGTGGGTGTTGGGATCTGAACCCAGATCCCTGGAAGCCAGCACTCTTATCTGCTGAGCCCTTTCTTTAGCCTAAACCTGGGTATTTTAACATAGTAATTCAGATATGTTGAGCTAAGTTAAGTGTGCTGTTAAGCTGATTCCATCCGTTTGTAGTTAATATGGCTACTGGAAATTTTGAGATGACTTGTGGCTGCCATTTTATCTGCATTGGGGATTTCTGTCTGGAGAAGGATCAGACTCCAATTTTATTTCATTCTTGTAAGAACATTTCACAGTGGTAACATGCCCACGCTATTGTATCCTGCCAGGTTCACATCATGCTGGTGACCCCTCTCCTGTGATGCTAAAGTCACTGGGCCCAGGGGTCATCAGCCCCAAATCCTACCCCGTGTAGCTCTGCAGTGCTTCTCTGTGTGGCGCAGCAGCCATGGTGGAGGAGGAGGAGTGGTGCCGCAGTGCCCGCCCTTCTGGCTGCTTCTGCATCTTCAGGGCTGCTGACGGCAGAGCCTTCCAGCACCACATCAGAATGACACAGATTGGGTGCAATAGGAAGACCAGCCTGGTAAATGTGAAGATCTTTATTCCCTGCAGTTAATTATTTAAGTGACAGTCCATGACTCTAAACTGAAAAGCCCAAACCCTTTTCACCCACCTCTGACCCACCCCAGAGTACCTCCTTGTGTGTCTCCGGATGACAGCCACTTTTCAGACATTGTGGATGTTACTGTCTCCTCCTCCTCCCTGAAACCGTGGCTTTTGCTACCACTCCACTTTCGTTCTAGTTCTCTTCTAGGATAAGTGTTCTCTATATTCAATTCATACTTCTCACTTCCAGTTCACGCTGCTGTTGTACTGTAATTAGCATGACAGCCATTTCCAGCTGTATGCCTAATTTGCCCTTTCCAGCAGTTTGTGTTGGGAGCTGCAGACCCTCAGACCCTGAACTTTCTATGACCTCTTGCCTACTGGAGTAAACAACTTGTTTTTCTATGCTTGCAGCTGCTCTGAGCACAGAACCCTCATGAGTTCCTGATAACAAGGAAGTAGTTTCTGATGGACTTGCAGTGGAAAATCCCCAGAGCTAGGGCTTGGCCATTATTCAAGGAGAACACTATATAAGCTGTCTGGGAACATAATAAAATCAGCATTCTTGCTTCAAGAGTGACCCACGTCTCTGTGTGTCCTTTGATCCCCAGACCCTTGCCCAACCATGGTTCCAGGTGGTGCAGGCACCACAAATTTGCTTTGTATATATATCTAAAAGTGTTCCTTTATAGCCCTATACTTGGGTCTTTATGTTTGCAATTTTGCAAGACTGAGTTTCTTTGAGAGTACAAACTCATACACAGTGTTAAATCCTGGGACCCAAGACAGCTATAGACAGGTAGAGGTCCAGTGTGGCTTAATAACTGTTGTGCTCTTTAATCTTTGATAGAGAATGAAAAAGAATCCATTTCTGGCCTCCTGGGGAAGGAATGATACTATTTAATTTGTGGCCAGTTTTATATATATA